TCTCGACTCGAAACTTTCCATTCGTCATCCCTTGTCATAATACTCCTTCATCCGATTGATTGAACCATACAAGTTAGTCTGGAGCTCCCACTCTCGATAGACCTCGACATTTGGAGATTTCCCCACTGGATAACTGGCGAGCATAGGTGTTGAACGCCCATACACTAACTCAAATGGAGTAAACTTGGTAGATGCATGATACGTGGTGTTGTACTAAAATTCGCACCAAGGCAAATATTCCTCCCACTTTCTTGGAAACTGATGGACAAAACATCTAATGTATTGCTTTAATGTACTGTTCGTACCTCAGTTTGGGCGTCCGTCTGAGGATGGTATGTTGAACACTAGCCAACTCAATACGGTGCATCTTGAAGAATTCCTTCAAGAAGTGACTCACGAAAATTCGAACCCGATCAGTCACAATAAATCGCAGGCACCCCATGCAATTTTACTATATATTCCACAAACGACTTGGCCATGGATTTTGCCTCTGTGTGTAGGATGCGTCAGAGGAACAAAATGTGCATAGTTGGTGAGTCAATCCACCACCACCATAGCCCCATTAAACCCGTTTGACATTGGTAACCCTTCAATAAAATCCATAGAGATATTCTCTCAAATGCGATCGGGTATCGGTAAGGGTTGCAACAACCCGCTCAGCTTGTGGGAGTCCCACTTCACTCTTTGACAAGCATCACATTTCGCCTCATTATCCCGCACTTCACTTTTCTGTCCGGGCCAATGAGAAGTGTTGGCTAGTCGCTTCCATGTGCGATAGGCACCCGAATGTCCCCCTACCTTCTACTCATGGAAGTATAGAATGATTTTGTTGTCCTCAATTGGTCGGTCTTCGACACGTACTCTTTCTTTAATTATAGTAGCCTCTCGTACATGTCATAGCATTGAGCCGCTTCGTCTTGCACTTCCATCATTCGTCGAGCCTCATTATAGAATGTGTCATGTACGTGAGCTTCCCGTAGCTAATCCCAGATAGCCCAAGTTGGTCTGGAAATGGGCTAAAGTTGGACCACATCGGTGCGGCGAAATGCGTCCGCCACCAAGTTCTGCCATCCAGGTCAGTAGCAAGTTCCACCTAGAGGACAGGGTCATGTAAGAAATTTTACTGGTCAATAACAAGCAACTACCCCAGGTTCACCTTTCTTACTAATAGTTCGTGATTTTTTTAATTAAAATGTGTATTAATTACTCACTGGATGAATTTAAACATGAGGTACCTGTAACTGGGTAACGAAGCTAAACTCTCGGGGTAGCTTTTATAATTATCCCCAAAATAATCCCTCCCTCCACTTTTTTACCCTCCAAAACAATTACAATATTATCGCTCTATATTAAAAGATATTACAATCTTGTTCCGCTATATTTTTTGATCTGAGCTCATCAAATGTTCAATACTTAACCAAAAAAAA